ATTAAAATGTTAAAATCAAATCTGATATTGTTTTACCTTTTATTTGGTGTGTGGAAGGTGTGCGGAAGAGGGAGTAGTCTTATATGGCGAGTATATAACAAACTCTGTATTTTGAGTGGAAATGTTAGGGGGTCGTCTTATACGCCCAGTCGTCTTATACGCCGGCAAATACGGTATGTTAAAAGTGATAGGTATTCCAGATAAAAAACTGAGCAGGGTTAGGGGGAATGGATGTGTAGGTGCATCTAGGTGGGAGGTGTTTGCAACATTAGGTAGAAAAGTCATGATGGGCATCATTGAGAAGCTGACATTTAAGCAAAGACTTGAAAGAGGTGGCAGAGGAACCATGTGCGTATCTGACGGAAGAGTAACCCAGGGAGAGAACAACCAGTACAAAGACGCTAAACTGATGTGATCCATTAGCAAGAAGGCCAGTGTGGTTGAAGCAGAGAGAGCAAGGGGAGAGTGACAGGGGATGAGGTCAGAGAGATGACAGAGCCAGAACATATAAGTCTGTGTAGACCACAGTAGACCTCGGGTTTTATTGTGTGAGAGCAGAGCACTGGAGGATAGTAAGTAGTAAGTTGCAATTTAAGAGCAATTTAAGTCTGGTGTTTTGCAAATGCCATAAAAGGGCAGGAGTGGGTGTGGGGAAACCACTTAGAAGGCTGTGCAGTAATCCGGGAATCAAGAGGGTTGGGCAGGTTAATATAATGTGGCTCAGAGCAGGATGGTAGCAGAGAAAAGATAAGAAGTGACCCAATTTGGGATCTATGTTGAAAGGTACACCATTAAGATCCCCTGACAGATTGGATGTGAAATGTGAAAGCAATGAGTCAAGAATGACTCTAGCGCTGGCCAGTTTGGTCCCAGGTTCGATTCCAGTCAAGGCATATACCTCAGTTGCAGGCTCCTCCCTGGCCTGAGCCCTGGTCAGGCTGCATGCAGGAGGCAACCGATCAATATGTTTCTCTCACATCGATGTTTCTCTCTCTTTACCTCTTTCTCCCACTCTCCCTAAAAATCAATGGAAAAATATCCTCTGGTGAGGATTAACAACAACAAAAGAATGACTCTAAGGTTTTTTCTTGAGCCACTGGAGTTGCCATCAATAAATATGCGTAAGAGTGGGGACTGAGTTGGTTTGAGGGGAAAATAGCAGAAGTTCATTTTTTGACAATTAAGCTTGAGGCGTCTGTTAGCATTCAATTGAGATATTTAGTGGCCAATTGCAAAGACTAAATAGGCAATAGTTGGATATATATTAAGTCCAGAGTTCAAGGCAGTAGTCTGGATTGGAGATCTTTTAAAAAATCAGAAGTCAGCTACATATAGATGGTATCAATATCATGAGACTGGATGAGATCAGAGAAAAAAAGTAGTCATATACCTCTTTTCCGTCATCACTTCCACAACCCAGAACACAGATCTGCACATTATGAATGAACAACAGTGCATATTAGGGACTCAGGTACTTGTACACCAATGTCCATAGCAGCATATTCACAACAGACAAAAAGGAGGGAAACTCAAGTGCCAACCAACACAGAAATGAATAAGCAAAATATGACATATAGATAAAATGGAATATTATTGTCATAAAAAGGAATAAGGTTCTGATACATGCTACAAGGAGGATGCCCTTGGAAACAAGTGAAAGAATCCAGACAGAGGAGGACAAATATTATATGATTCCACTTCTAAGAAATATCTAGAAGATGAAAATTCATAGAGAAAGAAAGTAAATTAGAGGTCACCAGGGGATGAGGAAGGGGAGTTATTTCTTAATGGATACAAAGTTTCTATTTGGGATGCTAAAAAAAAAGGCAGTGATGGTTACAAAACATTAAGATTATGGTTACAGCACTATAATCTTAAAATGGTTAAAATAGTAAATTTTATGTTATACTAGAGGCTCAGTGCACGAAATTCGTGCACGCGTAGGGTCCCTAGGCCTGGCCAGTGATCAGAGCCAATCGGGGCCTTCTGGCTGCTGGCCAGGGACTCCCTCAGCTGCCAGCCGCCAGCTGGCACCTTCCTTCATTCTGTGCCACCCCCTGGTGGTCAGTGCATGTCATAGCGAGTGATAGAACTCCTGGTCTCCCAGTCTAACTCCTGTGGGGACACTTTGTATATTAGCCTTTTATATATATTGATATATATATTTACCATAATTTTTTAAATAGTAAAAAAAAAGCACAATATAAAATTTAAGATAAATGAATGAATGAAATAATAAATTGGGACTTAAGGTTAAATAAGTTTCTATAGGCCAATTTAGAAACAAACCTATCTAGCATTTTCAGCATTGTTTCATGGTAAATATATTACAAGCTACAAAACGCTAGTTTACAAATGAACCTTAAAACCCACTTGTTTCCAAGGTGAAGATTACCAATGTTTAAATTTTTGGCAACAATCATCCTGAAAACTTGAACTTCTATTAAATTGGACTGCCTTTCACCTAATTTAAGATGTAATACTGCCATCGTGTGGCATGTACAGGAAGCTGTAGGTTTTCCAATATAAGGGAGAAAGTTGATTCCTTTTTGACAGCTTCTAGGATCAAGATAATAGCAATATCTATAAACCAAAGTATAAGCATTCTGGATTAGCCAGTATGTATAGATGATCGTTACCCACTTCAAAAGACAAGAAAAATCCCACAAAAATTCAAAAGACTTATCAAAAAGCTCAATTTCAAATAATATTAATAATAAAGCTTCAATACGTATTTTGGTAACCTATAAATCACATTTCAATGTTTGGCTGATATTCCTGAAATAAACTATTTCAGAGAGAGAATTTATAAAGTTTTGTACCTCAATAGTCATCATTTAGCTATTTATTATATGCTATTTAAAGAGTAGAGAAATAAAAGTTTTTAAAGATTAGGCCTAGTAAAAGTCAGTACATCCAAGGTTCTGAAAAATTGGAAAATGAATAGTTTAAATAAGAATCATATTAAACGCCCTTGTCCACTTGGCTCAGTGAATAGAGCGTCAGCCTGCAGACTGAAGGGTCCCAGGTTCGATTCTGGCCAAGGGCACATGCCTGGGTTGCGGGCTTGATCCCCAGTAGGGGTTGTGCAGGAGACAGCTGATCAGTGATTCTCTCTTATCATTGATGGTTCTATCTCTCTCCCCTTCTCCCTTCCTCTCTGAAATCAATAAAGAAATATATATATTTTTTAAAGAATCATATTAAAAAATAAGAAATTTTCATACTATCATAGTACATAGCATGGTACCCTAGATACAGCAAATGCTCAATAAATTACTTATTGGGGTGGGGGGAACCAACATTATTTTCATGGTCAATAATTAAACGGCAGACAACTGACCCAGAATTGGAAATTTAATGTGATGAAATAACATTCTCAGAATTGGGAATGTCAATCTGGGAAACTGAAAATGCTCACTGGTTCATAGGCTGAGCCAAATCAGTTTGGACCAAAATTTATTTCTAATGGTGGTCTACTTCTTCTGATAAAGAACACCTCAGAATAGTTCAAAGTATTTTAGGACAATAGATAACTTTTTTCCTTAAGGAACTAAAATTACACTCCTGGCCTCTTAATAAAAAAAACAATATAGCTATGCCTGGCCAGTGTAGCTTAGTGGTTGATTCCCAGTGAGGACACATGCCTGGGTTGTGGGCTTGAACCCAGGTGGGGGCTATGCAGGAGGTAGCTAATCAATGATTCTCTCTCATCATTGATGTTTCCATCTCTCTCTCTCTTTCCTTTCCTCTCTGAAATCAATAAAAATATATATTTTTTAAAAACCAATATAGTCCCTCGCTCAAGTATGTCAAACTTGTGGATCACAGGCCGCATGCAGCCCACAACGAATATTTTTGTGGCACAGCCAATATAACTGTATATAAGAAATTTTTAATAAAAATTTTTAACTTAATTTTCACAATATCCTATTATACATATTAATAACGAACTACAACGTTCACTAATGACTGATTACTATAATTGTGTTGCATTCATTTCCCTTACACACCTTACGTGCAGGCACACCATTTCTCCCCACTAATACTAGCAGCAAATATTCTAGCAGCCGATTGCCACATCATTAGTCTTGTACTAACTTGTTTGGTGTGTGCAACAGAAAATATTTCGCTTTTGGAGAACAAGAAAAATAGGTTTACTAGTATTTGCATTACGCTTATTAATTTATGCAGTTATCAGTGTCTGATAATTTAATGTTCAAGAACAAATATTAATTTTTATTAAAATGTCCTATTGTTTTATGTTAATGATTAGTCATTTATTTTAGCCCTTTGTATTCAGCATGTCTCTATCAAAATAAACCTACGTTTCTATGAAAATTGATGGGCACATGCTCAGGTTGGCTCGATCCCCAGGGTAGGGTGTGGGAGGCAGCCAATCAATGATTCTCTCTCATCACTGATGTTTCTCTCTCTCTCTCCCTCTCCCTTCCTCTCTGAAATCAATAAAAATATATATTTTTAAAAAACAATATAGCTATAATTATCACCAAGATCTGAACATTTTATACTCCTATTAGCATAAAGCACATACTGAGTCATTAAGGTCATAAAACATTGGCCAATAAAAAACAAAAACAACAACAAAAAACTATGATCTTCCAGAAAAGCCACAATAGTAGAAAATCTGAAATTTATTTTATTGTGAGACCCTACAATAATCTAATATCTTAAATCTCCTATTCCTGTATAACACTAATTCTAAAAAATTGGGCAAGGTAGTGGCATTAGGCACTTACTGCCCCTCCATTCACTCTTTGGAATGAGGGCTTCCTCAAGCCACACAGCCACCTCCAAACCTCCCCGCACCTATCCCTGCACTCAACGGGAGATGTTTCTGAAACTTACATATTCTACATTTGAGAAGCATGAAAGTAGAAAAAAAATTGAAAGCCATTATACATATAGATAATACTAACGATCACTTTCAACAATGATCTATATGCACAACATTCAAAAGCTTGCTTTTAGTATAAAAATACCAATACAATGAACAGCCTCAACAGAAGACTTGGCTTTCAATTCCGCTCTGTCACCTGCCGCCTAACTCAGTAAGCCCTTCAGTGTTCTGTGGCTGGAGCTCCTCACTCATAAATAAAATTATTTTCAAGGTTCTTTCCAGCTCTAAAGGAAATCTTATGATACTATCTTCTCTAAACTATTACAAGCAAGAGAAATTATATCCTAAAGTATTCGGTATTTAAAACAGAAATCTGTATACATATGTAAGGACGCATTAACTGGAAGGGAGGAATCCTTTCACAATGTACACACAGATCAAAACATCACAATGTATTCTTAAAATATCTTACAATTTGTCAACTAAACCTCAATAAAGTTGTAAAAAACTTTACAACTGGCTAACAATCTGGCTAAAAAATGGGGGGAAAAAGAGTCTAAGTTACTTTCCTCTAAGTCCTGATTACAGGACTCTTAATATTTACAAGTGGACTATTATAAGATGCAAAATCTAGAAAAAATGCAAAATTACATCAAGTTAACTCATGTCTAACTTAAATTCTGTTCAAAATGACAAAGGGCTGCCAGAGGCACATGGTTTGGGGGTGTGCGTAATGGTTATAAGTCCTGAGGTGACTACAGGTAACCATACTATATTGTATATTTAAAAGTTGCTAAGATTTCTCATCACAAGATAAAAAATTGAAACTGTGTGCAGTGATTCATATAAACTGAACTGTGGTAATCACTTTGCAATATAAACATATATCAAATCATTACGTTGTACACCTTGGACTAATATTTTTATGTCAATTTAGCTGAATAAAATTGGAAAAAATGTCAAAGGTCTAAACACTGAACATTGTCTTAAACTTCTTTCCTCAAACAAATATAACCATAAATTAAACTGCTTAATGAAAATTCAACTTAAAAAACAATGTTTTAAAGATGATGTATGAGCACACATTATCTCATTCAATCAATATGCTGAGCACCTGCCCTGACCGGTTTGGCTCAGTGGATAGAGCGTCAGCCTGCGGACTGAAGGGTCCCAGGTTCGATTCCGGTCAAGGGCATGTACCTTGATTGAGGGCACATCCCCAGTAGGGAGTGTGCAGGAGGCAGCTGATCGATGTTTCTAACTCTCTATCCCACTCCCTTCCTCTCTGTAAAAAATCAATAAAATATTTAAAAAAAAAATATGCTGAGTACCTACTATGTGTCAGGTACTCTCATGTTGTAGCTTCTTTCAAGTGTTACAAACGTCGAAGACTTTGAGAATCTTACCAACATGGCCTCCTCCGATGGTGTATGTCTTCCCAGATCCAGTTTGTCCATAGGCAAAAACAGTTACATTATAGCCTTCAATGAGTGATAACACTAGTGGCTTTATGCACGTATTATAAACTTCGTCTTGAGTGGAACTTTTGCCAAAAACAAAATCAAAAGTAAAGATTCTGTCTCTCCCAATGATAATTTGCTGGGTGTTTGGAATAACTCTCACACAAACTTGATGATTATGAAGAACTTCTTTGCATAGCAGAGGTCTAATTCTTACAGCAACTTTTACTGGTATTTCCTCCATGGCAGCTTAGATTTTCCTAACAGATTTTCTACTTAATATTCAGTGTCTAGTGTGAGAGCCATCCATTTTACATAAGATCTGGACTCCTGTGTATCAAAATAAAAACAAAATTTAATTACTGACTCTTCCCTAATATATAAATCATCATCTAAAGCAAAGTCAATTAGAACAGGTTTTGTTCCAACATAAGCTAGTTACAAAGAATAAATCTGTCTTGTAAAGAACATCTATAATTTATAGATGAAATGATATGATGTCTGGATTTGCTGTAAATAATACAGGGGGTAGAGGCCATGAGTTGGTAAATGCTGAAAACTAAATGATAAGCACATGGGATTCCATTGTGCCCTTCTTTCTGTAATTATAGTATATTTCCTAGCTCATTAATCTAAATATTGAATAATTGGGGAGTTAAAAAATTAAATCAAAGAAAATAGGTAATTGTACACATGTTAAAAGCAAATCCTTATACTAGGTTTTATAGCTATATATTTAAAAATAACATCTCCTCACTGCCACAAATATGATAAATAAATCCATGAAATAATTTTAAGGATTTCCAGAAGTCATTTTTTATTCAAAAATAATCAAAACTGAAAAACTGCTTTTCTCCTCCTAAATTGTTATACTAATTTCTGAAGATCTCTAGTGGAATTAATACATTAAAAATTAAATGGCCCTAACTGGTTTGGCTCAGTGGAGAGAGCGTTGGCCTGCGGACTCAAGGGTCCCAGGTTCGATTCCGGTCAAGGGCATGTACCTTGGTTGCGGGCACATCCCCAGTGAGGGGTGTGCAGGAGGCAGCTGATCAATGTTTCTCTCTAACTCTCTATCCCACTCCCTTCCTCTCTGTAAAAAATCAATAAAATATATTTTTAAAAAATTAAACTGGGTTAGGCTGGGCTGCTGAGGCTCAGTGGCTGAGCATTGGCCTATGAACCAAGAGGTCATGGTTTGATTTTTTAGAATAAAAAAACTCATCATATTGCTGGTGTTGCTTAGTGGTTGAGTGATGACCTAAGAACCAGGAGGTCATGGTTTGATTCCCGGTCAGGGCACATGCCTGGGTTTTGGTCTCAATCCCCAGTAAGTGGTGTGCAGGAGGCAGCTGATCGATGATTCTTTCTCATCACTAATGTTTCTATCTCTCTCCCTCTCCCTCCCTTTCTCTGAAATTAATAAAAATATATCTTTAAAAAAGTTAAATTGGTAGCTACACTTAGAATGAACCTGAAAAAATAAAGTAAGAAAACAATTCTAACCCTAGCCTAGCTGGCTCAGTGGTTGGAACATCTGCCCAAGAATTGAAGGATTCAGGGTTCGATTCTGGTCAAGGGCATGTATCTCAGTTGCAGGCTTGACCCCTAGCCCTGGTTGGGGAGCACGTTGGGAGCAACTAATCCATGTCTCTCTCACATCGATGTTTCTCTCTCCCCCTCCCTTCCATTCTGTCTAAAACTCAATGGGAAAAAAATATCCTTGGGCGAAGAGTAGCAACAACAAAAAGAAAACACTTCCATTTACAATAGCATTAAAGGATTAAATACTTCGGAATACATTTTTTAAAAAGGTGTGTAAAACTGACACTTTGGCCGAGACTGGTTTGGCTCAGTGGATAGAGCGTCGGCCTGCGGATTGAAAGGTCCCAGGTTTGATTCCGGTCGGGGGCATGTGCCTGGGTTGCGGGCACATCCCCAGTGGGGAGTGTGCAGGAGGCAGCTGGTCGATGTTTCTCTCGCATCGATGTTTCTAACTCTCTATCTCTCTCCTTTCCCCTCTGTAAAAACTCAATAAAATATATTTAAAAAAAAAACTGACACTTTGAAAACTACAAAATATTGTGGGAAGAAAGAAGATCTAAATAAATGGAAAAGCATCTCCTGTTTATGGATTGCAAGACATTGTTGAGATGACAATGCCATATTTCCCAAACCAATCTAAAGGTTCAACACAAGTCCCATCCGAATCCCAGCTGACTTCTTTATAGAAGTTGACAAGCTCATCCAAAAATTCATATGGAAATCCGAGGGACACAGAATACCAAAAACAATAGTGAAAACGAACAAAATTGGAGGACACACTTCCCCAATTTTAAAATCAAGCAATAGCATTCAAGAAGGTGTGGTATGGGCATAGCCAGACTTAGAGATCAATGGAAAAGAACTGAGGATCCAGACATAAACCATCACATTTATAGGCAATTAATTTTCAACAAGCAGGAGAAGACAATTCAAAGGGGGGAAAACAGTCTTTTCAACAAAAGGTCATGTACAATTGGATATCCACCCTCCAGTTGGACTCCTATCTCACATACACCAAAGTTAATGCAAAATGATTCATATACGTAAATGTAAGGTCAAAACTATAAAATTTGTAAAAGAAAATATGGGGGTAACTCTTGCTAACTTTAGATTTGGCAACGGTTGTTCAGATACAACACCGAAAGCAAGAGGAATAAGCAATAAAATGATGAAAAAATAGATAAAATCCACTTAATCAAATGCAAAAGTTTTAAGCGTCAAAAGATACCATCAGCCCTAGCTGATCTGGCTCAGCAGATAGAGTATTGGCCGGTGGGCTGAAAGGTCTCGGGTTAGATTCTGGTCAAAGGAACATATGCCAGTTGCAGGCCCAATCCCCAGTGGGGGGAATGCAGGAGGCAGCTAATCAATGATTCTCTCTCATCACTGATGTTTCTAACTCTCTCTCCCTCTCCCTACCTCTGAAATCACTAAAAAAATATTTTTTAAAAAACACGAAGAGAACCAAGATGGCGGCATAGGTTAAAGCCGGAGAATGCTGCCCCATACAACCACTTCAAAAATACAACTAAGCCCGAACCGGTTTGGCTCAGTAGATAGAGCGTCAGCCTGCGGACTGAAAGGTCCCGGGTTCGATTCCGGCCAAGGGCATGTGCCTG